ACCATACTGTTTCAGCTGACTCTTTCACCTTGCGTTTCTTCGCCATTGTCCCAACGTGGTAACTGAGTTAACTGAATACAAGTGTCAGAGTGTGTGTCGTCTGTGTTGTCTGTGTCTGTGTGCGTGTCCGTTCTGAGGATTCAAAGACCGAGGAAAATCGTGAAACGACACTTGCAACACCTAACTAGTGGGTCATAATGATGAAGTCTTTGGCCTGTCTGCTGTGCGCGGTCCCCAAGAAAGCTGCCTCCCTGGCCTGAGAACATACTCATGCTCGCACTGCTAACCTGTTTCGAGTCTCTCCGGTCCCTTCCAACGCTGCGGCTCGCACGCTGGTCTCTCCGCCCCAAGAGGCTGACTCGGCCACCATGCGGCGCGCCAACGCTTGATGCTCCGCGGTTCGCACGTTGACTTTCAGCATCTGGCGGTGCTTGGTCGGATGGCCGGTGGGCTTGGGGGGCTCTCGGTGGGCTCCGGGGAGATAGCGTAAAAGAGAGATGGCAATCTGTGATGGCGAAAATGGATGTTGCAAGGATCTCACATGGGACCCGCAGCTTAGTTTCTTTGCTATGTTTCAGACTGCCTCTTCCAAACATCCTCCATCAGCAGGGTTGCAAACTGGATGTTCCATCAGCCCATATCTCACCTCGCAATGGCTCACAAAAAACAAACATGAATCCAAGGCCCTGCCAGAAGCCATTGTTACTTCGTCATGAGGCTCTAATACCGAAATCCTCACTCTACGATCACCGCTGGTACCCAAGTTGCAAGGGAGAGCGCTCCTGAATGCCAAGTGTGAACAAGCTATACTTATCAGGGCCACTAACATTCGTACAAGGCATTGCCAAGGTCAAACACGTAAAGTAAATAGGTTTTTCGGGAGCCTGAGTCCGAGTTTGATTTCCACAACTTTCCACGAAGCCCTTCCACCATCTGAGGGATGGGAACAAACTCACAAGTACGGGCTCTTGTCGCAACACCGTCCTCGCTCTTGTTCGAGAAGGAAGCGGCTGATGCAGGTACGGTCAAACAGGTACACTGCAGCGTCCAAACACGAGAAAAGACCTGCCAAAGTCTATGGTCGCCTAGGTCTATATCCATTCCATTCCCACTTCCTTGTGCGATGTTTTGCACCAGAATATCCCCTTCACGATCTTGACCTACACAGGGAACCTGCATACATACCGCCTGGCTGCAGGACCCGACCAGATTCGGAGATTGGTCACCTTCATGTGTGGGATTGTGTGGATCTGCCTGGCTGAAACAACGAGTATAGGCTGCTCTTTGGTTTGACCACACTCTGCTCACAAAGCAACATAAACGGGACAAAGCACAACTGGGAATCGGGAACGCATTTTTTTGAGGTGGCCAGGATTCCTCTTCGACCGCTGGCTTTTTTGGCCAGGAGACTACAAACACCTTCAGTTCAGCAAGGAAGGCTCCCCCCCGCTTTACGCTTGCCCTAATTTACTATTTGGCTCAAGTCAACCAGCTATTTTTGGCAACTCTTCTTGGCATGTGAAAGGCAAACCAAGGTCTGACAACCCCTTGAATGGTGTGCGCACGGTTTCCTTCGACACGCTTTCAACATTTCAAAACAACCTGTAAGAGAATATGCAGCATGTGAAATAACGAACCACGGGAAAATTTTATACTATTATACGCCACTCGAACGCCACTCGAAACCCATAAGCGCTGGTGTGTAAATGAGAATCTTGGTTGGGGAAGCTACCAGTTTGCACAAGCAAAGTGGGCCACTGCCTCAAGCACAAGTCCAACCTTCAACATCTCGAATATCAATCAAACCAATCGGAATATTTATATCATACGCACATTCCCGTATGCAAACCCACCCTGTAGCGGCCCGAGGCTCGGCTCCTACCGTCTCTGTGGCTGGTCCGAGCCCCGCGTCCGCCTCTCATTTCGGCCAGGCACGACAGGGGTCAAGATTCGGGTGACCATGTCGTCCAGGCGCTCTTGAGGTAGCGTCTGAAGATTCTCCTTGGTGAAATAGACCTGGAGATCCGCTCTGAGAACAACACGGGGCCGATACGGGCCGAGGCGAAGATGCGGTGCGGTGCGGTCGTAGTTTTGGTCGCAGGTTCTTCCGCACCAAAGACTATACGTCATGGTGATTAATCCCGAGATATCCCGAGTACCTATTAAAAAACGGACCCCTATTAGAAAAAAGTCATGTCGGAAACCCCTAAATACGGTTTATTTTTGCCTTTTAAATTACCGCCCTTTCAAGCCGCTACTAAACTACCAACATGGTCGATTTTGGGGGTAGTTTTTTAAATTGGGTTCCAAAAACAGCCGTAACTGCCCACCTCTGTCCGCCCTGTCTATCCACCATGACACGCCGCGCTTACACCAGCAGGCTTTCCTTCCCCCAATGGCACGGACTCACGCAAACGCACTTGCCACCGAGGTCATGCAACACCGCATGGCACAGCGACATCACCTTTCGAAAGCTTTAGCTGTTAGTCTACTGAAGAATCACTATTCTAATGAAGGTTTTTGTAGGGGAAAAGGAAGACCCTTCGATCTGGAGCTTTTTTGCATTTTTGATACGAGACGAGTTTAATAAAGGATTTTATATAAAATTTTACGGATTTACTTTTTGGTTTTGAAGCTCTTCCCAGGTGACCCTATTTTGGCACCCCCCGATTTCAGGGACCCCCTATTAGAAAAAATGCGACCGAGGTTTCCTTATTAGGGGGGGGGGCGTTTTTTATTAGGAGGACTGGATTATGTTCGATCAGTTTCAACCAGGACCCTCCAACAGGCTGTTTTGGCACCCTAACAGGTGGTTCCTGGGCACCTGTGGGATGGTCAAGGAATGGTTTCCGTATGTTTCCGTGCTCTCGCGTGTCCTCCCACCTGATTCATGGGTAGGTCTCCTGGAGAGTTGCCAGGCATCTCCTGGTCCAAACCTGGCATCTCAGGAGTGCACGCGCATGTGGCATCTCAGGTGGCTCGGTACACCCACACCGCGGGGGGCCAAGGCTAAGAATCAAAGCAGTGATAGAAAGTGATAGGGACCATACTTGACATCCAGTTACAGCCAGCATCTTGTAGCCCCCCAAAAGGCGATGCCAGGACGGAAGACACCACCTGGAAATTCCGTGCGCCTGGCACGACGACACCTGCAACCACCGGATGTTCAATCCACCCTCGCCACGTGAGCCACCCGCCCGGCTCTTCCGCGTCGATCGGCCTTCGGCGGCTGCGAAGGAGTGCAAGGCCCACCAGTCGCTCATGATCCAGCCTTTGAAGCCTGGCACTGGCGGCGGCTGGCGGCGGCGAAGCGGCGCACTTTCCGAGCTTCCCGGGTTCAGTGGTTCCCGAAGCAGAAAACCGAGCACCATTCAGGGTTCGTTGGTTCGCTTGGGCACTTGGGGAGACTGGGGAAGCAGACTCTGGAACAGTGAAACCAGCATTGTGATGCTATAAAGTATACATGGCCAGTAGAAAACATCTCTCCGCACCTCCTGTGCGGTTCATCTATAACCTGCACCAGTGGTTTGACACGGTCTGACGAAGTCAAGTTGCCCATCACATCTTTCAAGTCTCTTTGCATCGTGTCCTGAGGTGACACAGCACACAAAAGCAATGCACATGTTGCTAGCTGGTTGGGACAAATGGTCAGTTTGTTCAATAATAGGAACCCCGACCTCGAGCGCTTATTCCATCACATAAGTTGAGCACCTGCTGCCAAGTCACCCCATTCGCACGCGCGTGGATGCCTGGGCAAGGCTGTGGTTTCCGAAGCCCCGTTTTCGACCGCAACCCCGGCGAAAGGCGAGGAAAGGGGGAAAACGAGGGATTGGATGCCCAAACAGCTGATCAGAAAAGTGTAGCATCCCAAACCTGTTGACCTTTCCTCGAAGAATTCCCTAGCAGCACTTCATTGGAACTCTCAACTCCACGGTCTTGTGAAGTCCGGGTCGGACTGACGAAGTCTCGGCGGACGAGCCGACGTTCCCAAACTTGTTGCCCCGGCGCCGTTCACCAGGTTGTAGGCGCACATCGCCGAGAGGCAGCCTGATCGACTGCTGGACATCTGGGCACTTTCAAGGCCCAGGGGCAACACGTTTGAAGGTCTATGCCAGCAGTCACAAAGCGGTGCCGATTTGGAGGATAAGGGTGCCCAGAACATCCACTCACTTGGGGACTAAAAAACAAAAACCACCCCTTTGTGACCCCTGGTGGTCTGCTTTTGGTCCAACAACACTTCCAATCCGAAACAGCTCGAACATGAAAAAACACCCTCAACACGCAATGGGACATAGAGTTCTCCCACGAACGGCGAAGAACACACCCGGTCTGGGAAAGGCCCCTCAGCGGCTCACAGTGCCCTGTAGTTTTGGGCAAAGAAAACCCAAACCCTCCATGTATGGAATGTACATTGATCCCTGGAACCACCCCAACTTATTTATAATATAGATATTGCTAATATTTAATATCATGGAGCGTCTGACCCCCCAAAAAAAATAGCCGCGCTGTCGCCATACTGCCTGCGTCGATGGAGGCCTGGAAGGGTGGATAGTAGACCTCCCAAAGTGCTTTCTGAGAGACCTCTGGATTCACGAAGCTCCCTGGCGTGCCAGTGCGGCAGGTGGCGTCGGCGGTCGTCTGAGGAGAGAGGATGGCAAGCAAAAGGGGAAAACCATTGGTCGTGCTTTTTCGCTTTCATTGTTTGGGGGGGAAGGACGGCGAGCAGGACTTGCACGTGTAACCGGGGTAAGTCCTGTATGCCCTGCAGCTCTTGGCATGCTCAGTTCAGTTCATCTTGCTCGATCTCTTGTCATGTTTCTATCGCCACAGAAGGCCTCACAAACGAATGCCAGCGGATGAAATGGCCTAGAATCCATCCTACCTGCATAATTAATCATTGATCATAGCTTCGCCTGTCCAGCACCAATGACACTCCAAACTTCAGGAACATTAAAAACTGAAACTGCCCCTTGATGCATGCCCGTGTTGCCAAAACTGAGGCTTCATGGACATGTCTTGCACCTGATTCCTCATGGACCTGGATCAGTCTCCTGGTGGGACGCTCCAACTCCAAACGTGCCGTCAAGCTACGGAGTGTCTCCTGACTGTTGACAATGAAATGCTTCATGACAGTCAGCACCTGAGAGTCAGTTCGGAGCAAACAGTGAGGTAACTGCTTCCAACAACTGCCAAGATATAGAGCTCCATGGGAACTAACTGGATCGAGACATGAGGCTCACCAACCACTACATTGCTGGGTGCGAAAAAAAACCCCTTCGAAACCGCCTCAGGGCCTCATGGAGCTGCTGGGATTCCCTCATGATCGAATCCCTCCGTGGACACCTTTCACCGGAATTCACTCCCCTGGGCAAGTGGTGAATTGCTACAACTCGTGCATCTTTGAATGCCTGCACTGGAGAAAGGAGAACGTCCCACCAGCAGATATGGCCTGATGCCTCCTTTGACATATCCTTAAGCACTTTGGGCCAGTGGATTCCAGGCTTGTGGCAACAAAAGTCCCCGTGCCCCCTGTTCGGCCGCATCTCCAAAAGGCAGAAAGGACACATCCATTCTACGAACATCTGTGGCATTCTGTGGCCATGGACCGATGGATTGCATGGCCATGCTTTCTGCGGCAACCGACCAGAAACCCGCGACCCGCGGCGACGTCTGGTGGGTCAAGGGTCATTCTTGGAGTGCACGCCCTTAATGTAGCCTCCCACCAGCTCTGAACCCAAATAAGCCGACTCTCCGGACAAATACTCCACCTGCCAGGACAGGAAAAAGAACTTCTTTGGAGTGCAGGGGTGCTTGACATATTGACCGATAAGTGTCAAGGGTGCTTGAAAGGGGGGGGGTCAATGGGATGGCTGATGTTTCATGCTTGGGGTGCATTAGAGAGTCTTTGCCTGAGGTTTATTCTCCCTCTCTTGGGTGCCATGCGATTTGGGCGGAGTTTCCATTTGCATTCTTCCAACATCTTTCCAACTGCTGGCTAACCTACTCTGTGCGAGAAACCTGAGGCCATGGGTGGTTTTTGCCAAGCTACATGATAGTTTAATAATCATACAAGTCCAGTAGAGGGGCCCATCCAGTAAATGGAACTCAGTTTTTGGTCCCTTTTTCAGGATGCAAAACTGATCAAATCGCGCGCACTGTGAGCGCAAGGGCATGCTGCATTACTCCTGATGCGGTGGGGAAAATCTGGAGATTGATGTAACTGCGGAAAAACAAGAGACAACAAGAGCAGGATACTGACTGCCCAACACGTTCCAACCTCGACAAAGGCCCACTCTATCACTTTAAGGAGTCCGGGCCGATCAAGTCTCAGGTACGCTACCATCCGCCCACGGAGAATCGTCAACATTCGCATGACAGAACTGTGGAGGAGCGGTTCATATCCATTTGGGTATAGGCGGTATAGGTCTTATCTCTGGCCTTAACCCATCCGTACCCCGTCACACGGGTCATCGTGGATTACCCTGAAGAACTCAACCCCGCTGCGTATGTAAACCTCTTGTTTCACTTCCCATGCTCCAAACACACAGGGTGTCAATGAAGCGTCAGCGGTGCGCCACGGTGCGTCGGTGTCAAGGCACGTTCCGCCCGTTGCGCGCCACGCGGTGGACGTTGAGGCCAGGGCCCAGGACCACATTGCCGCCTTTGGGGAAGAACTCATCACCCAACGCCTGCGATGGAGGCCGTGGCGTCCTTTGGCGGATTTGGATGCTGGAGATAGGGGGTGAACTCGAGCTTTTCATCATGGAAGCCAAACCACCAGCAGGGTACAAGTACATTATTGACAAACTCATGACTCATGACACCTTAGACTTAAGCCTCAACCGTGAGAACCCCTGCACTTCCCTTCCACAAAAAAAGCCTTTACCTGTGCCAGAAGCCAGGCACCTAGCCTGTTGAGTGAAAGCATCAAGCAACTTAAGGAAACCCCATCAACTTCCGCCATCTCTTTCCACCCAGGCCCAGCCCATCAACTTTCTCCCACACCCGAACCACCACCCCAATCCCCAGAACCACCCACACCGCCGACAAGACCAAAACCACCTTTCGCCCCGGCTAAGCGGCGCTTTCACCCGTCACTGCTTTGGCAGGAAGCAGCCGCGGCCCAGGTCGCGCGCGCCTGGCCCCACTCGTAGCCCAGGTCGCGGTCCCAGGTGGCCGCCACGGCCAAGGTCGACGGCCAGGCCGTGACCTGGGTCGAAGCTGAGTGCGGAGACCGGCGCTACCGAAGTGGAATGGGGTTTTGCAAACGGCGGACCTGATGAAGTCTAGTGAAAGGAAATCGACACCTTGGTCTATAGGGTTAAGATGGGTCCAGTCTTTGCTTGCAGGGCAAACAATGACATAGCTCATAGCAGCATCGCTTCTAGGTTGGAGGCCATCGCTCTTAGGTTGGAGGCACATGTGCACTACCACGATCCCACAGAGTTTGAGAGCGGTAGGTCATTGATATTTCAACATGCTATGGCTCCTGCAGGGATCGCACTTAGTGATCACACGCAAACATTTCAAAGGTAAAATGCCTCGCAGAAACCGTCTCATTTTGAGCTTCTGGTAGCACCCTGGCGGTTGAGGTTGCAGCACATCCACAGCGACACATACCCCTCACATTCAGGGCTTTTTTCGTGAGTATTGCTCCTATCAACCAGCACATTAAAGGAAAATGTCATCCAAGGTGTACCGCGGCATGTATGACCAACGAGGCCGTGTCCGCTTCCCAAAAGAACCGCACGCCCTCGCGTCTCTGCCACCGCACCTGCCCGATAATCGGCTTCTGAGTCGTGCGGTAGCCCTGGCCATTGTCCTGTGCTCACGAAGCGGCTGCAGTGCGCAGCGGAGTTGGGAGACAGGAATTGGAGTGGCTAGTTCTGGCAAGATCCATATTCAAGCTGGTGAATGGATACACTAGATGCATCAGGATACATCCATTGTGATCATCCACCGTCGGTCTGGCGCTGTTTTGTCGTAACCCGTTTAGTGTGTAGACTATCTAAATTACCGTCAGTTGAGGGGTGCAAGGAAATACTCAGTGACACCTCTTCAGTCAACTCCTCACAAATCCATCTCTCCGCCTCCACCCCCACTAGCCAACGCATCCGGAGCGGAAGGGTGACGGAAGCCAAAGGAACCGGGGCTTGAAGTACATCCTGAGAAGGTGTTTGTTTGTTTGTGGCCGAGGGAGGGGTCCAAACTGGTCCAAACACCTTCGGAAGTACCTGGAGATGTGGATGCCTGCAGATTCAAGGTCGGGATCTTGAGGCGCTCCACGGCCGCTGTATTCCCCACGAAGAAGCCGAAGGGAGGGTTGAAGTCCTGTCGCTTTGCTGCCTCCCAGGTCCTTCTCACCCCATGGTCTCCCCGGACACGAAGTCATCAGGGGATTTCCCCGGACCAACGATGCTGATACTCGGTCACCCATCTCAACCAAAAAGCACTATGCGACACTGACCGTCGGGGAGGTTCATCTCTTAATTAAAAGTCTGGGGACAGCGGGGATGGGGAGCCGAATCTGGACATGGATGGACAAAGATTGATGCCACTGACATGCGTCTCTCTTGTTCTGAAAGCAAGGTGTTTGGCCCAACAACTCCCATATTTTGTTGGAAGGGTGGCGTGTTGATGTGCTGGCTGCTTGTCTTTCTGTCGTTGTGGGCTTTCAGCAACGCTTCCTTGAGCACTCCTGCACAAACACCAACAATGCTCCCTTCCTGTTGTTGGGTCTGAGGCAGCATGGAGATGAAAAGGGCCTTTAGATCTTGTTCCCTACAAGTCAATGGCCTCGTTTTGCTGAAGTTGGTCATACACAAAAAAATAAACAGTACAGTACTCAATGGTCCAATGGTACTCAAGGATAAAACAGGTTTTACTGGGCCTTTGGACTTGGCGTTAAGTATTTATGCTGAAGACGGACCTGGTCCAGTCAGCGCACACAAAGCTAGACCGAGGTGCTCCATCTGAATAGGCAACTCCCTTGACCAAGCCGAACTTCTCATCGAAGGTGAGCTGTTTGACCAACTCCCCTGAGGTCGGCGACGAGGTACCCGACGAAGGTAGGTCCGTGGACAAGCCCGCAGGTCGGTGGCCCCAGATGCTCTCTCTCCCTCCCTCCCTCCCTCCGTCTCTGTCTCTGTCTCTCTCTCTCGCTCTCTCTCTCTCTCTCTTGCTCTCCCCCTCCCACTCCCTCCCCCGCCTTCAGAAAACAGGATCGTCAAGGGTCTCGTGTATTCTGCCATGCAGAAGGGACATGTTTGGACTCATGTTCTCTCTTTTTCCAGTCCAAAGATATGGTCCGGGCCATCGTGCGCCTCAACTGGTTGGAATCACCAAGTATTGAGCGTTGAGTCGTCCAGTTGGTCGCGTTGATAGTTGGTGCCTTCAACTTGGAAGGTACGAAGTGAAAACCAGATCGCGTCCCCGAAGTGTTGCCTGCTTTCTGAATTGCATCCTCCAAGCTCATCTCTTTCGCCTCCTTCGCTCGTCTCTTGCCTTGGTGCTCGCTCCAGTTGGGTCGATGGTCTATGGTCCGAAGGAAGCAGCAGGAGCAGTGGTCATTCCTTACCTTTCCCTGCTCCGCTGCCGGCTCTCAGGAAGAGGTGTAAAGAAAGGTACGGTTGCCGATAAAACACAGTGGTCTACCCGACCTCTGCCACAGGTAGGACCCAAAATGACTTCCAAGTCACTAGTTTGATCCCCGTTGCTACCGACTGAGGTGCAACCCCCCATTCTATTCAAAATTGGTCATCTAAAATGACTGGTAAGACTTAAAGACCTATACATACATCTCATTGTACTTAAACAGTGCAAAAAGAACACCGCTTTCTGTCGTGACTGGCTAATTTGACTGTAAAGAGTTCGTCCTCTTCATCCATGTTATTTAAGACCAACTTTAGATAACCCTTAAACTAACAGAGTCAAATAAAATGGGTTTTCCGTGGTCGACCACACTCATATTTGCTAACCGGTAGTAACGGGGATTTAATTTGTGGAAGCTATTTTGATCTATTTTTGATTGAGCAAACACGCGCACGCATACACCAGAACGGAGAGAAAATGTACAGTGGTTGCTATAGCTATATGTATGGCCAAAGAAAAGAGAATAAACTGGGGGAAGTAAAGCCAAAAGTCGACAGGCTTGGCCACACACTGACAGACCCCAGCAAAGCAGTCTGATATGCTGCCCTAGCTCTGATCTTCATGCAAAAACGCGTGTAGCAAAATGTGTCATGACATGTCATGACACTTAAAGCAATTCACAGCGGTCTTAAATTCAGTAGAAAACAATAGAAAACATCTCACTAGCGCTGAACTGCAATCCACCAACATTGAAACTGCGCCTTTCGTCAGCTACAGTAGTCTGCGCCTAGAACCTGTTCATCAAAAGGATTGTGCCCAGAACCACGCAACCCCATTCCCGGTTGCAGCCCGAGTCACTTTGTATCAAGCAAATTTCCTCATCATCACCCCAAATGTCCTGCAACTCACCCAGTGAGCAGGTGAAACAGCCCGTTGCGTCAAAGCTGAAGCTTCTCCTGGACATCTGCTTGCCCAAACCCAAGGCAGCCAAGGGCCAGCAGGCACAGCAGGCCTCCGGCCAGATCAATGAAATCCCAAATCCTCACTAGCTAGAAGTCATATCTGCATCAAATCAGAAGTTTCCCATGGGTTTGCCTCTGAACGTTTCTTGGTCTCAAGGTCTGTCCACTCTGGCATGCAATGTGCAATTCTCGTAGTCCAGCCCAGCACCACTACCCGCCCCTGTACGCGCAAACCACATGCTTGAACTGCTTGGAAGGCTCCTGCTCCTTGCAGCGCCATGCTCCTGTGCTCGGGTGTGTTTCTTGGGGTCCATTGCCAAGGCAAACAGAACTGCGGCATCCATGCAGCTCCGTTTGAATGAGGTTCCCTGGTGGCCGGTGTAAAAATCCTGTGGCTCCACTGGGACTCCAATTTCCACAAGGGGGCGCAGACTTTGGGCCAACACCATGCGCAAACAGTCGTCGCAAAGACATGGCTTTCCGGACCACCTTGACAAAAGGTGGTCATTCACATTCGAAAACATGACTGTGTCAAGTCAAGCCCCTTATCCTGTACCAGGACATTCTTTAAAGCGCCCGGCGCCCAACCCTGCGCCAACTTTGGTCCCAAAACCACCAAGCGAGGGGTCCTCTGGAAAGGGGGGCCCAAAAGGCAGGCAATTGCGGAAAGACAAACATGCTTTACCCCTGGGAACTTTGGAGCAAACAGGCTGTCTTTGGGGGTGATAGGTCGGAATGAGAGCGGACCTATCAGGTGGTGCGTCGCGTTAGGTCGAAACAGTGAAACAACGTGAGCCTCAATGGCCCAAAGCAAGGATCTTGTAGGGAAATCTAGCTTCCTCACAGGGAAAATTTGACTTGCTTTGGCATCATTTGGCATGTATTTTGAAGCAGGGACACCAAACAAAATAGAAGGCACGGGGGTCACTCTGACTCCGAAGCAACCAAACTCTCCTGGCCTGACTCGTCAGTCAAGTCACTAATCAAGATCGGTACGGTTTGTGCCAATAAGCTCACGGCCGAAGAGGGAGCCGGTACCGTCAGTCATCGCAAGGAAACAATGCAAAGCTTGTTTCTACAACCGCACTACAAAAAGCACAAAAACGCAATGCTGACGTAATCTTGAGTGTTGACCAATGAAACCGAACCCCCCGTACGAAGATGTAAATCCATTTTTTGTAGGGAGTTTGTTTGTCAGCAACAGTCACCTGTATTACAGCCACTGATTGTTGACTCACTTCTAGTCTGCCAGGTGGTCAAGAGTCAAAAGCCTTTCATCCTTGTAATGACCTCATCTCTCTGCAAAACCCATTCATCATTTCCGAGCACACCAAACGGCACACAAATGATTGGGGTGGTTTGTTGCGGGGTTCCTTTGGGTGAAAAAATGCATTTTTTCGTCAAAGGCTTCCCAATGCATCACTGCACTCGGATGCTCCACCGCGGCACGGATGCCCCATGGTGAAGTCCACGATCTCCTCGCGATGAATGTCCAGGCATGGGAGGAGATTCCAGGAACCTAGATCCTTCACTCGGAATCATGGAAGGAGGAACGTTCCATGATGGAAACATTGTCCTCAAAAAGTTAAAAAAACTTGAGGCCAAGGGGGCGGGCGAAAGCTAGCGCTCCAGAATGGGAAAGTCGAGGGCAGCGAGGTAGGAAAAAACACGGCGCTCTTTTTGGAGGCAGGGGTGAAGAGTCCTTTATATGTGGCTCTTTGCCCGGATC